AAAAACATCGCTTACACAAGGTGGCAAGAAGGTTTGCCGGGCATGATGCCAGGCATGGCCTGGCAACTGGTGGCAGATAGGGAAGGCAGGAACTTACAGGGGTAGCACGATCATCATCCCCGACATGATGACGCAACTTCTGCTGTGACCCAGAAGCAAAGTCACTGTGTGTGGAGGACACTCCAGCACTTGCCGCCCAAATCTATGAAAATATTGGGGCAAGTGCTAGAGCATCCCCCCACCCCGAGCATGATGATGGCATGTCTGGGCCACAACAGAAGTTGTGTCATTGTGTCAGAGATGACAATTGCCTCCCCAGTTCCCCTGCCAGTTTCCTCCTGCTCCCCAGCTGAGTGGCGGCAAGGGGTGGGATTTCTCCCACCATATACTGAAACCTGCTAGACCCAGGTACAAGCCTAAGAATCTCACAGTGCAATCCTAAGCAGAGTTGCATCCTTCTAGACCCATTGACTTCAAGTAGACTTAGATGGGGATAACACTGTTTAGGACTGCACAGTCACACACCAAGCCCTCAGACTGCAGCCACAAATAGCTTTCCCAGTAAAATTAGGGTGAAGGTTCTTCACCACCTCTGCCAACAGATTACCTTGAGTTTTAATGTATATTTCTAGCCAGATGACCATTGTCTGAGCATCTGAAAAGCAAACTGACCAAAACCGCCATCTCACCAAAGGATGTTGTACTATGCATTTCTAAAGCATCTCTTATCCCAATATTTCTGCCTCTATTTTGTTATGAATAACCGAACCCATTGTCATTGCTCAAGCAATTCCTGCTTAATTCTATGTAGAAGTATCTGCACACACACACACACGAGACTGCTTTCTTAACAAGTACTATAAAGTTTTATTTAAATAAAATGCACTACAGTAACCCCAGATTGTGACATTCATTAGGTAAAAACAATCTGAGAAAAGGGGTTGTTCTGAAAAATATGTAGCCAAGAGGGACAATGAATTTACACTGATTACTGGGGATGTGTGCACCTCCGATGACTGCAGAATCTCATACATTAGTAATACTACCTTCCATCACAATTGGTTTCCCACATGGGTGTCCAAGTCCCAGTAGGACTCAGCCCCTTTCTTCAAAGCAGTTTAAAAGTACCTTTATCAGGGCAGTATTAGAGAGCCTTGGAACACCACTGCTGCCAACACTCTATAGCTGCATTTAATGTTTCTGCATCATGAGTTCCTGGCTTAAATGTAATACAAATTCCTTGTCTGGGACAATTTCCATGCAGGCCCCTAACTTAGAACCCGTTTAGCTAGATTTGCCTGATCTATTCTCATTAAACTGTTCTAACAACTACAAGGGGAAACAAAAAGAGAAGCAGATATAGAAAAGAGAGAGAAATAGAAAAGAGTGGTGGTAACCTCAGGAGAAGAAACAAGGCTTTTCTGTGTAAAAGACTCCATGATTAAGGCAGCTCCATGCTCAGATGACAGATCCTCTGGAGAATCCTCTTCTGACCTCTGTTTCAGCAGGGAAAACCCAAGACCCCAAGGCAAAGAGGCAGAAAGAGAGACAAAGAAAGAGACAGGAAGAGACAGAGAAAGAGACAGGCAGTAAATAAAGTACAGAGAGTATACTCTGCTCCTGAAGATCATGTGCTTTAGCTAGCAACTCTGCTGACACAATCCCGTCCTTCACCTTCTCAGTGCCAGTACAAACCAATGGCCTGATGAACCCCAAATCACATGCTCTGTTCCTCTCGGCTGCAGCAGGGACCCTTATAAAAGGTTTCAAATTGGTCCACGTACACATCTCACTCTCAGCTTTGCAACCCTTTATCCAGCCATGTGTCACGGCTCAAGACGGCCACTCTAGATGTGGCTGCGGCAGCCACAGCTATTTAATCTCAGGTCTGTTCTGATCTTATATAAAGCAGAATGTGGGTGGAAGTCTGTTTTGTTTTTGTGTTTAACCATCAAAAGGGGTGTATAAGGGAGGAAGAGCTGAACCCACACCCACTTCATCTCCTTGTACAGTGTCACTTCTTACACTGATCTTCCATCCTAAGAGCTGGGCAGGGAGAAAACCTCCTGACGCACGGGGGAGGTAAGAGGGTCCAACTTCCCTCATCCATTCAGTCCTTTCAAGTAAAAATCAGACCCCTCTCAACAAAGCAGCTGTCTCCATCATGCCTTGTTTTGGCTTTCAACTTTTGCTTTCCATTTAGTCTTTCCTTGACCCAGGTCTCCAAAGTCCCCCGAGTCTTGTGGCTTATAGAACTGCTAAGGAGATGAACATTACGGGTCCATCATCTCCCACCTCCCTCTTGTTTCTTTCTCTTGTATCGATCTACTCCTCCAATCTAAAATATCTGTACAATACAATTCCATTTCTGTAAAGGTACAAGTGGCTTTCAGTAAATAATTGGATTTTTATAGTTGTGTGGTTTCTGAACAATTAAGATCGTTCTCTTGAGCAACAACCTCTGGAAATATTTCTGGGTGGGGTGGATGGCAGAATCCTACCATTTTCTAGCCCGCTCTCCTTCACTTAGACCAAAAGGCAGGTTTGTTTGTTTTTAGACTGAAAAGACTAACCGACAACATCTTGTTTCTGCTGTATCACAAAGAGAATGAGATATCTCCTGGACAAAGAGCTCAGGCTTCAGTGCAACTGCCAAAATCGTGAGACCAAACTTTAGATGCTGGTTATCTGTATGTCTGGACTTGGATTTTATACTCATGGAATTCTTCACTCCTGAGTACTCCAGTCAGAAACATCGTCCCAGTCATAGCAACACTGTCCAGTTATATTAATGAGATTTTTTTTATATACAGCTTTCTTTTTCTGGGGCACCTTCACTCTTTAAACCTTATGTGAACATGCCTACTGTTAACTGGGGAACAAAACCTGGAGACAGCTCTCTTCCCCATGGAATGTGATGTCACCACTTTGAAGGGAATTTTTTTCTCTTCTATGACTCAGAATGTTCACTTCCTGCAATCTTTGCAAAACCGAGCAACTCTACCACCATATGCAAGAAGCTGCACCTGTTTCCACATTGCAATTGCTCCATACGGGAGCCATAGTGTTAGAAAGCATCTGAATATATGGATCATTGCAGTTGTAGATACATACATAAAATTTTGTTGCATTATCTGTGACCACAGAAATAGCAAGGCACAAAAATAGCTATATATACACACACACAGTAATAAGACAGCATAATATCCATTGCGTATTGTCTCAGTTGCATGGAGTTACGTGATCCATGCAATTAGGAGCTATTTAGGACACAGCAGCTAACCCACTGCACACTCAACAGGTGGAGTAAGTCCAGCCACTCTCCCTCAGTCTCAGTCCCACATTCTGCAACTCAGGAATGATTATACTGGCCTACCATATAGCATAGTTGTTAACAATTACATAATACACTTTGATATAGAAAGTACTATGTACATATTTAGTATGATGCTGATGATCTGAATAGGGGAAGGCCTGTGGCTCAGAGGGAGAGCCTCTGCTTCGCATGTAGAAGGTCTAGGTTCAATCCCTGACATCTTCAGTTAAAAAGGAGGTAGTAGACAAAGTAAAAGGCCTCTACCTGAGACCCTAGAGATCCACTGACAGTCTGAGTAGATAATAGTGACCTTGATGGATTCAGTATAAGGTAGCTTCGTGTCTTCAATGTTTTATGTATCAATTTGCTTCTAAATATTTGATCCTCTGCTCAGATTTGCTGCCATGGAGAAGCGCTGCCTGCTATTTCCCTATGGCAGCTGTGACAGCAGAATCACCCTGAGCTCCTTAGGTGAAAAGCAGGATAACAGTCTGATAGGTAGAAACATATGTAACTAAGTATGGTGTCATAACCTGAATGGTTCAACATGCTTGGGTCAGATTATTAGGTAGAGTGCTGTCCGTGGCTCAGTGTTAGTGCACTTGCTCTCCATTTAGAAGACCCCTGGTTCAACCCTTGGCATCTCCAGCTAAAAAGGATCAGGTAGTCGTTGGTCTGAAAGACCTCAACCCGAGACCCTGCAGAGCTGCTGCCAGAGTAGACAGTACTGACCTTGATGGACCCATGCTCTGAGTCAGTGTAAGGTATTGCCATGTGTTCATGTGCAGTGCTAGGTTTCTTTTGATATGCTTGAAATGACACTATAGTTTCATGAGTATTTTGTGCCTTGCCTAAGAGTTTTGCTGTTGTCTTCTCAAATCCCAAACTTCGCCTCGCTGCTGGGCCTGCTATCATTCATAGAATACAGAAAACAGGCCATGGGTTTTACCATGAAAGTCATATGGTAGACATGTAATTCAACTCACGATGCTTTCCAGGATTAAAAAAGTGAGTGGGGGTAACGTTAGCTGCAGAGTCAAATCTGGCTGGCTTGTGTGACAAAGGTCCCCTTAACACAGTTCTGAGAGTGATAAACAGAGCTAACTCTGGTCCACAAAGCTGACAATTGTAGAAATGCCTTGACTATCTGAGAGAATGTCATAATGCACATTTCCCCCCAGCCCTGCTCATTATATGTAGTCATACTTAGGATCTACACCTATAGAAGTCTTTCAGATCACAGAGTTACTGGTGGAATACCATCCACCTCTGATACTGTTGTGCTTGTATACTGCATTAATGTTATTGGTGCTGTGTAAACAAACAAAAAGACTTGACAACTAAATTACAATACAATGGATACAGCCACAGAGAGCTGGAGAAGAATCCTACTTTTAAGATGTTTCTTGTGTCTTTACCTAGAATTTAGAGAATCTGCTACTTTTAAAAGAACAGTGGATGAAGCCATGTAACAGTGAACAATGTCTTATAGTACAGGTTGGGGAGAAGGATTCAGATACCTGCTCCCCACCCCCAATAAGGCTGTCCCCACTATGCTGCTGAGTAGATGAATAAACAAAGACAAAACACTAACAGCACAATCAAATACTATAAATGGCACAACTTCAGCATCTAGATACACAACAGATAAAAGACATGATATAACTGAACACAGGAAACAAACCTCATTAGTCCTCTCTGGGGTTCCCTTTGGTGTCTCATCCTCGTGTTTGGGTGAGGAAGAGGCAGGTGAGGAAGGCAGTCTCCGGTCCCTGTGCACGAGTTTGCTGTTGGGTTCCTTCAAGGTCCTCTTCAGCTCATTAATGCTGGCCTGATGCTTTAGCAAAACATCTTCCGGTTTGTCTAAAAACTTTTAGAGGGAGAGGGGAAGGTAACTACTGAGGTGAGGATCAGAGGAAGGAACATGAGTGGGACAGTGAGGAGATGGAAGCTTCACTGCGTTTAGAATTTGGGAGCCATATTTCCTGACATGGAATCTCCGCACAAGGGGCAGAATTTGAAGTCTAAGGTGCAACTTAGGATGACAGGAAGTTCTGGAAGACAGACCCTATTTGGGAAATGAATGAATGTAGTAAAATCCTTGTAAATCCATAAACAAAACTCTCCAGGGCCAGAGACTGTTCTTGGGAACTGCAATGACTATTTCTATTCCTTTTCCAGTAAACATTCCAGTAGTCTGCACCAGAAATCCTCTTTGTTGGATGCCCTATGTTAGTTTTTACTGGAAGGCCAGTTGCTTCAGAGCAAACAACTTCAAGGGGTTGGGAGACAGACAGATTTGTTCCCATCCAATGTTTATGGTCTTTAATGGCAATTTCCACTAGGTGTCCTCAGGACATCCGGTCTGCAACTGAAGTGGCCAGAGATAAATCTGAATCAGGAACTGGATATGGGCCATTCCAAAGAGCTAAACAGATATTTAGGTTTGGTTCATACTGTGTAGCTAGATTGAGGAGCACTGAAACAAGGCCATCTCCTTTTCAAAAGTGTTTACTGCAGTAAGTGAAGCTCCACTCTGTTGGGCTTTACAAACTGATTCAAAGAAAGTGATTTTATTGCTTTAATTTTTTTTTTGTTCAATGCTGGATGATGCCTCTTATGCATTTCAAGGTTCCATCCAGGCATCACAAAAAGCAATGGTAAGTCCTAATTCCCCTCGTACTAGAGCAGTGCTTTCCAAATGTCTGAGGTACATTTTTTTTGCAGAAGTACAATTTGGCAGTGTCCTTTCTTATACTGAGAAGTTAAGAACATGCAAGACTAACATTACCCATTCTCAAAGGAGCCACCACTTCTGCCTCTCCATTAGTCACTGTTCTTGGAACTTGTTTCATTTGGAAAAAAGTAAATCCAGAGCAATGCAGAGATGCAACATGCAGAGATGCAACATGGAGCCACTTCAGAGGATGGGTCATTCTTCAGCATCTCTGCGCTCAAAGAGACCGAATAATCCAACAACACCCCTACCCAATGAAGAAATGTGGCAGAAATTATTTGCTTACAGTGGAAGCCAATTGGAAAGAGGCTAGGCCAGAGCAAAGGTTAATGCAGAGGATGCACTGGGCAATCTCCCCCACGGGTAAGTACTCACAGAAAGGTACTCACAGATTTCTCATGACACACTAGCGGTTCTCTTGCATTTTGGGAATTACTGCTCTAGAGGTTGATAATCAAAGAACATGAACAATGTGCATCTGTGAAGCAGTTTGTCCCTTGTCCCATTCATGTCCCAGGGAGGTTATCAATAAGGATAATACAGGGTGGCAAGATGGAACATGCAGAGGTAACAAATGATGAGACAACATGGATGGGAACGATAGCCGGCACTGAAGTTCAGGTCCTTGGAGAATGTGGAGGGAGAATCTCATTACCATGGCCAGGCAACATACAACAGTCTTTCCAGTCATGTAATGAACCACCATTTTAAGCATGTGGCAGCTCCCATTAGCAAAAGCATTTCCTTCTGACTGTAGTCTTCTTCCATGCTCCAAATCTGAAGCCAGATCCAAAGCTGCTAAAATCAGGCAAAAGTCTTCCATGCAATACAGGCAAACGGGGGCTCTAGAGTCCTACAACACCTCTCCCTAGTAGGATTTGTCTTCGGATTCTAGCTGTATTCAGACATCAGGGAATGCAGTGGTTAAATGGAAACTGGGCATAACACAGCTTGTAGCCATTCACCTGTGCTACCCCTTTCCTTTGTGCAGATTCAACCTTTCCTGATCTGGATTGAGCTCCAATTTGCTATGAGGCCTGGTTACAGGTAGTCTGGCGAGTTGCAGCTTGCTTAGTTTTCCAGAACCAAGATTCTAAACCTCAATTTAATCCCAGTCTTTTGGGGGTAAACAATTTGCTAAGATGCTTGCATTTGAAAGTCATTACAAACTGGGATTTGATCAAGCTGGGAAGTTTTCAGTCAAGTACAGGAACGAGCACTGTTCATGATCACAAATGATCAGTCAGAGTTTAATTGCTGTTTTTCTGTGATTTCTGAATGCAGTTTTTCCTCTGCAAATGACAAATTTTATGGCACATCATTAAGGATCTTCATGTTCAAGGCCATGTGTGACACACTGTTAACAGCCATGAATGCACATGAGTGTGCCCTTATTCTTAGCTCACTTAGTAATTGCCTCTACAGTCGCACCAATGTTAACACTCAGAGGCTGCAATCCTAAACACACTTACTAGGGAGTAGATCTCATTAAACTTAGTGGGATTTCGCAGTATATGTGCCTCAGATTGCACTGCAAGAAAAGCCTCAGGAAACTTAACAGAATTGCTTTCTACTGCTTGGAAACTCAGCCAATGCCTAGGTGGGAGTTATACTTCCATTCTGTTTTAAGTTGCACCAGCCTGGGAACAGTCATGTCGATCAATATTCTGTCCTACAACAGAGGAGTGTAAATACTTGTCAGAACTCTTTCGATTTCTTAAAAAGCACCTCCTACCTGAGGACATCAGGGCCGGAAAATGAAGAAATGGAAAATGGAATACCAAGAATACACAGGAAACAGTCAACTGGGGGATTAATGGGTATGATTTCCCAGGAAGCAGGTAGCTCAAGTGATCTGGCCTCTGCTTGCTAGGAGGGCTTCTTGCTCATACATACAAGGAGAAAGGGAATTCCTTAGTTAGTGGGATAAAAGATGCTTCCAAAAAAGAACTCTTGCACATAAGCATCCAATTGGTTTAAAAGATGGCAAGAGAGGAATATTCCTATTCCATGTTAAGTGCATCTTGTATTCCAGTAAACAAGGGCACATATAATGTTTGCATTTTAAAAAAAAAGAAGATGAACACTATGATGCACTGGTGAAGAGTTAAGACATTCCAGAGAGAGAATACCTCCTGCTTGTGCCTTGGGGTGGTTTCTTGCTCCGGCTGGTAGCGAAAAGAGGGGGGGGGAGTAACTGGCAGGGTCAGTCAAGGGAACTCATAATATGCATTACACTTCAAATTTTAACTCAAAATGTCATTTGTGATGCTGCACGTCACAGTTTTCCTTTCAGTAACAGATACCAGAACTGACTACAGCGCCCCCTTTTTAGATCTTTCATTATGAACTAGGGACCCAACGATGCTGCACTCTGCAAATTCCACCCCCTAATTCAGCTTTTGTTGGGGAAATGGAAGACTGTGGGCAGGATGGGATGCCCTGACCAGGATGGCCCCGGCTAGCCCCATCTGGTCAGATCTTGGAAACTAAGCAGGGTCAGCCCAAGGGTCCCGGGTCAGTACCTGGAGGCAGGCAATGGCAGACCACCTCTCTTTGTCTGTGGCCTTGAAAACCCTACAGAGTCACCATAAGTCAGCTGCGACTTGACAGCACTTTCCACCATCAGGAGCTGGCTGCTGTTGTAAGGAAATATGTAGGCAGACATCTGTGTTTCTGGGGTACAATCTATGAGAAAGCATTAGTTCCATATAAGGTGGTGTGGGGGGGGGGATCTGAACACCCACTGGACAGGCAGGGGGCTTTGCACAACAGCGATAATACCGCCCTGCAACAGAGGGACCTTTTTTGGCACCAGGAGCCAGCATCAGAGAGTAAAGGCATAACCCTTCCCAAAAGGTCACTGGGGCTCTGTTTCATAACAAGCAGGCTCTCTAAAGTGATGCTGCCATCCCTGTAGCTGGGGCACAGCACTTTTGTTCAGTCTTCTGGGGGCTGAAGAGAAAACAAGAACGGCTCAGTTTAAGTGGCCAGAATTGGATCTCCATCTCTGACTACACCTCTGGATTCCATGACTGTCACAGAGCCTTAATATTCCACAAGGGTCGACACTGAAAAGCTCCTTCAGTTACTGAGGATTAAGAACTGTCCCCTCCTGGAAAGCAGACCTCTGAGATGGGGTGGGCTAGGAACCAGTAACTAAATCATTGTTGCTTTCTGCAGTATTTTAGGCACCTCCTACCAGAAAGCTCTGATGCTGGGTGACAGGTGCAAATTATGAGAAAAGTAGATTTCCAAAGACCATGATGCAGATTTTGTACCTTTAGTTCCTTGATTTTTGTGGGGGTGGTCAACTCATCATCCTCAGCCTCGGAAAGCGTCCTTCTGCCATACTTGCTGTCTTCTTCTCTCTTCTCTGACTCTGCTCCTCCATCGTGATTCTCGCTGACTGAAGCTGGGCGGGAGAACTCTGCACAGGAGAGAGACAAACAGACAAAGGTGCCCTATTTGTCCCACTGAGTTCAGTCAAGAAGTATGCCTTACAGGATACCTGTACATGGTTCTAATACATGATCCAGTATAGTCCCCAGAGTAGGAAAATAAGGGAAGAACCCACCTTTTCCCTTGAGAAATCCCTCTAACACATCCCCAAGCCCTGGGACACCCGACAATGTGCCCTCTGAGTTTCAATTTTTATTTTGGTCTTTGTTTTTCATTCCCAGGATTCCTTGGTACTTAAGTCATTTAGAAACCTAGAATGTTTACTCTTGCATTGCGCCTGACTATGTGGCCAAGTACCTGTGTAATAGCTGCCCTACAATTATATGGCAATCTGATCATTTCTGAAAAGCCCTACAATATCAAGGTAGTATTCCTCTATTCAGGAGGACTTTTTATAGAGGATGCTGGGGAGGAGAGCCATATCCCCCACGTTTCAGATCATAAATTTGAAACGTTCCTCAGGAGCACTTCTATCTCTTGTCAGCCGACTGGTTCTATACAATGTGGCCTTTGTTACACAATAAAGACTAAAAAGGGCCTATGGACTAGGCATGCACTGCAAAGGAACACTTCAAAAAGAACAGGTGACGATATTATGAGGGGAAAATGCTCTTAAAATAAACTGCCCCCAAACGCTCTGATTTTATTTTAAGCAATCTAATCAAGCAAGGGCCTTTAAACTTGCTGACAATATTTCTACCTTCCCAAAATCCAAACTGTTCAGCCCTGCAGGAAAAGAAATCTTTCTAGCAACAAAGCAAAAAGACCCAAAAAGCCACATGAGACACCTAAACCAAGCTAAAGTCCAGGACGGGAGCTCATCAAAATGATATCAGAATGGATGGGAGATAATCTGTTCACTTTGGAGCATTTTCATCTGTATTGTATTTTAACAAATGGTTGTTGGGACACAAAACTCACCAGGTGCCAAAGAATCATGCCCATGAATGAAATGCTATGGGTTCTTTACCTAGGAGATGTCCAATAAGTATGTATAGATACTGCTGACATTTTGGTTCCTCACTATTATCCTTTAATAGTCTCAGGTCATTCAGTGATTTGAATAATTATGCAAAGAACTGGGATCTCTGATGAATTCATTTATGGGGCCAGGGAATTAGCTAGTAATATCACCTGCCTACCACACCAGATAACCAGAAGGTAGCACAAGAGGAAGGGCCTGTGTCAAAAGACCACTTCTTTGCAAGTTATATCCTGACACAGCTGCAAGAGTGATGAGTCTGTGTGGGCAGGTAGGGTCAAGGCTAAGGGTCCTCTTTAACAAACTCAACCCCCATCAGTATTGCCTCCATCTTTTTTGCCCTTGGAACAACATGACATTCTGCATAAGTTTTTCATCTTAGTGGGTGCAGATTTTCAAACCATTTGAAACGAATTTACCTTTAAAGCAGTGTTTCCCCCCTTCCTTTTGCTATGGATCTTGACTTCCAATATGGAAGCCAGGCAGAATATTAATGTAATCTTTTTAATCTTTGCTGTCCCCTCCTATTACATTGGCCTATCATGGGTACCCTGGCAAATCTGCCCATAAGGATGCTTTGAGCAAACAGAAGGTCCAGCTAGACTTTATTGAGAAACAATGCTCTACAGCCTAACAGCATGAAATAAAGTTGCCATGCTAGACCGCAGCCACCCATCCCCTCTGCATATGGCCCCATCCTTTCAGCAAAAGCCTCCCCATACCCACCAGTGAACCAATCTCCCTCCCCCTCCCCAATTTGGGGCGTACCTCCATCGAGGCTGCGAGACATGGTGTACCGTTTGCTGGAGGAGCGCTCAAAGTATGGGGCGGGACGATCGATCAGGGCGCTGGCCTGGCGCGTTTGTGCCTGTGTTCGCCCACTATAGCGGAACTTGGAGCCCATTACGAGGAAGCCTTTTGGAGGAGGCTCCGGGGACACCAGCCTGCAAAGGGGAGAAGGAAGGCACTACCACGGATCAGCGTGTCATTCAGCAATGGGGTGCAGCACTGGTAAGTCAAAGTAACAATAATAATTTATAGCACATTCTGTAATCAAGAGATTCACATACATTATCTTGCTGTAATCCTTACAACAGTCTTGTGAGGTACATCAGTGCCATTATTCCCATATTGCAGATGAAGACTGAAGTTAAGAGAGGGTGGCTTGCCTAAAGCTAATGGCCCTGTAGCACAGACAAGATTCAGAGAGAGTGTCACATCCATTCACACTTGACTTTTGTCATTGTCTAAGCAAACAAAGTTTCTAAATGCATCCAGGGATGTGCTGCCAACTGCTTTTAAGTGGTTACAGTGGTTATCATGGGAAACCTACAGGGTGAAGGGCCTGAGAATGTGTCTTGATGAACTGATGAATTAAACATTAGTCTGTTGAAATAGAAAATGTTTCAGATGGAGACAGAAACCTGTGAAGTGTGGGGCCTGCAGAATACAGAAAATAGATGTCTCAAAGAACTCTAAAGCATTTGCAAATGTCACCTCTATAGATCAAAGGAGGTTTAGGGAGAATAGCTTGGAGAAAAAACCAACAGTGTCTTGTAGATCCGCACCCAGTTCCGGGTGCCATGCATGCGAAAATAAATTCTATTAATTTCCATAATGTATGCAGAGTTGCACATAGTAGCTTTTGCCAGTAAGCAACTATGCAGAGACCTTGAGTTCACTGTTAGTCAGCGGAAGTCACAGTTGGCCTCTTATATTTTACTAGGTGCTGGTTATGTGATTATCTCTCAGCTTCACTGCCATGAGTAGAAGAAATGGTTTTCCCCTTTAAAAATGCACTCTGAGATTCTCAAGATGCTAAGGTCTGTACCAGATACCAAATCCAGTGCTTGCATGACATTTGTTGCAGATGACCACCATAGAACCGTGACCATAGTATATGGTTTATGAGAAGCCATTAATGACTGGCAGGTTTCTTATGTGTTTACAGACATCTTTCCCTCCTACAAAAAAAATCGGTCAGAGAGTGCAAAGGCAGGTCTACACACATGCCACACTTATATGATCTGTACATATCAGTTGCTGGGTGTGATCAGTTCATGGATGGGAGAACTGTGGGGAACCAATGTTATCAGGCTGCAGTGCATCTACTTTTAAAGAAGCCCACTCTTGACCCAGGAGAGCTCAATTATTATCAGCCAGCTTGAAATGTTCCATTCTTGAACTAGATGATTGAATGTGTGGTGGCTGGTCAATCCCAAGCTTTCCTGAATGAGGCAAATTGTTTAGTCCCCTTCCTGTCTGGGGTTAGACCTGATTATTAATAAAAACAGGGCTCTAGTTGGGGGGGAGCTCTCAGGTACGGAGCTCCGGAAGAGAACCTCTAGGGGGCGGGGCGGTCACGTGGTGAAGCCCCGCCCCCTTCTTTACCCCGCCCTCTGCTTCGATCATCATTCCGTTTGGGAATGAGGATGAAGCAGGAGGGTAAGTAGCCGGGCCTTCTGACACACTTCCGGTGATGTCAGGGGGTGTGGCCTTCTGTCACTTCCGGTGATGTCAGGGGGCGTGGCATATGCAAATAAGTTATGCTAATGAGTTATGCTAATGAGCTCCGGCAGCTCTTTTTCTACAACAAGACCCCTGAATAAAAATATATATAATAAAAAAGACCTGATTATTGGACTGAAACAGCCTTGATTGCCCTGGTGAATGACTTATGCTGGGAGATGGACAGAGGGTGTTTGACTCCCCTGATTCTCCTGGACATCTCAGTAGCTTTTGATATCAATCAAAATATCCTTCTGGACCACCTATCTGGACTGGGAGGCACCATTCTGCAGTGGTTCTGGTCCTACCTGGAGGGTAGGTTTCAGAAGGTGGTGCTAGGGGACTGCTGCTCAGCCCCTTGGCCTTTGGTTTATGGGGTTCCACAAAGTTCTGTCTTGTCCATTATGCTGTTTCACATCTACATGAAATAGCTGGGTTTGTATGTGTTTTAACTGTTTTTTGTGTATTTAGCTGTTTTAAACTCTTTTTAAAAATTGTTTTAAGAATGTATGTTTAGGAGGGAGTTGATTTTCATGGTTTTATAATGTAATTTTATCGTGTAGGTTTTTAATTGTTAGCTACCTTGGTGGCCCTTGTAAGGACAGAAAGGCAGGGTATAAATTTTATAAAGAAAAATAAACTCTAGAGTGAAATAAATGCTGGGTGAAAACGCTGAAATAAATAAATAATTCCCCCCATCTCACCTGAAGAACGTGTGGTGCTCAATGCAAACTTTCCAAAGTCTCTTGGCTGAACGATGGTTCGGCAGCTTGAACCCAATGGTACTTTCAAACTGCTCATACTGAAAATACAAAAAACAACGATCTGGTATTCTGCCCAAGATTCAAGTAATTCTCTATCAGACTGTGCCATCAGATGCACCGGAAATATCACCCCTCTTCCAAGTTCTGGCATATTCCAGAGGACCCGTCAAATACACATAACCCAAATGAGAAAATTGACTTTTTCAGACAATCAGATTCTCCTCAGGAACTGATTCCTTCTTCACTGCCCAGTAAAGTACCTGCTAATGAATGCAATTTTTTTTACCCAGTTACCTACCTCACCAGGTCGAATTTTGATGTAGAAGTTACTCCTCTTGTATGAAATCTTGAGGATCTTGGGCCAGGCAAAACGGTTTATCCTCAGCCGGTCTCTATAGATGAGCAGGCCATTTGCACAAACACCCAGCATTATGTCAATGCCTTCTGAATCCTGACAGGAGACATGGCAGAAAATTAAAGAGACAGAGAGTAGCATTAGTGCACAGAAATACTGCCAGTGCAAAGACAGAAGGATATTCCTGGTCAATGCAAAGGAATTTTCAAGCTTAAAATAGCAAGGCAGGAAAGCTGGGAGGCATGGAAATAGACCACTGCCTGCCTCTAACTTCAAACATCAGACTCACATTTCCAGACTAAATTTATTTAGAAAATGTATATGCCGCCTCTCTAGATCCTTCACCCTGGATCTGGAGCAAGATCAACTAATCCAGAACAACAGTTTCCCCTGGTGAGCCATGTTGCCTGTTATGGCTGTAGGAAAAGGAGGCCTACCAGAATTTCTTTTTAAAACTAGTATATTCCCACTTCAGGCCTGAAAAATGGTGTCTACAATGGGTAATGATTGCGGAATCTCCTTATGCTTGCAATGACCGGAAAGGCAATGTATTAGGAACGGAGGTGGTCTTAGTGATTCTGGGGCACTGGGCAAAAAAGAATGGGCCCCTGAAATCACTGCTCCAACCACTGGACCCACGTAAGGAGCGGCCCGCATGCTGTGCCAGGTGGGCAGGAGCCTCCACTGCCACTCAAAACCAGCTGCCTGAGCCCCAGACAGGGCAGGTGCAAGCAGCGACCGGAGCTTGCTGTTCTTTTTTCCCCTTGGGGGGCCCAGGGCAGCTGCCCCTGTTGCCCACTGGTGAAGACTGTCCCTGATTCAGGAGGAATGCTTTAATTATGGAGAACCTTACTTTAGGGTACACGGCTAAGTCATCTGACACACTGCGAAAGGCAACAGATGTGTGTGTAAAGGTTTCATAGCGATGCAGCAGGAGGTGGCTTGTTGATGAGTGACTAAGCACCACAGCATGACTTGGGACTGGGGTATCTGAAGGGCCATCTTCTCTTAAATGTTCCTGTCCAGGAATTAAGATCACGGGGAGAGGCCCTCCTGGCTGTCCCGCCAATCAAAGAAGCTAATCTGGTGGGCACTTGAAAGAAGTCAGCCCCCACAGTTGTAGGTCATGAGCTGGAGTACTGCTGTACTTGTAGGGCCCAAATCTGCAGCCTAAAGCTTCTCATCCTTTAGAGGTTTCTCTGTCGTGGCCAACAAAAATGGCGAGAGAATGCAGATGAGATTTTAGGTTGAGGAGGCTCTTGCTTTTAATGACTTACCTACAGCACACCTAAGTGTGGTTACCTCCTCTATAATGTAATACTGCTAAAATGGTTCAAGACTGATAGGGTACGTTCAGACGGGGGCTTTACACCGGTTAGTTAATTATGGAGAACCTTACTTTAGGGTAGACGGCTAAGTTATCTGACACACCGCGAAAGGCAACAGCTGCGTGTCTAAAGGTTTCATAGCGATGCAGCAGGTGGCGGCTTGTTGATGAGTGACAGCAGTGACTAAGCACCACAGCATGACTTGGGACTGGGGTATCTGAAGGACCATCTTCTCTTAAATGTTCCTGTCCAGGAACTAAGATCACGGGGAGAGGCCCTCCTGGCTGTCCCGCCAATCAAAGAAGCTAATCTGGTGGGCACTTGAAAGAAGTAAGCCCCCATAGTTGTAGGTCATGAGCTGGAGTACTGCTGTACTTGTAGGGCCCAAATCTGCAGCCTAAAGCTTCTCATCCTTTAGAGGTTTCTCTGTCGTGGTCAACAAAAAATGGCGAGAGAATGCAGATGAGATTTTAGGTTGAGGAGGCTCTTGCTTTTAATGACTTACCTACAGCACACCTAAGTGTGGTTACCTCCTCTATAATGTAATACTGCTAAAATGGTTCAAGACTGATAGGGTACGTTCAGACGGGGGCTTTACACCGGTTAGGGTGCCGGTTCCAATCGTTGTACTTACCGGCGTTCAGACGGGGCACATCTGCCTCCTCTCCCTAACCGGTGTAAAGCCCTTTACACCGTTGCACTCTGCTACCAGGTCCCCAAGTGGTGGTATACAGAGTGCAACGGTGGTAAACGGTGCAACCCCGCGTCTGATCGCTCTCCACCGGTGCCTAGGCATTTCCGTCGGAAGCCTGAGGCTTCCGGCATTCCCCCGCCATTTTATTTTAACTCTATGTGATATGAGCTCGGGCGAAGCTTCGCCCTGAGCGTCTGTTAAAATAAACACAAAAAAACTTACTTTACCTTCCCGGAGGAGTCCGGGACTTAAGGGAGGCCAGGTTGGGATTTAAACTTTAAAGGTAAGTCCTTACCTTTAAAGTTTAAATGTAATGGGGGGGGGGGGTTTGAGCATGCGCAGGGTATGAGCATGCTCAAACTGCTTTTAAAAAAAAAAGCCTACGCCCGCAGCGTGTGAGCGGGCGTCCAACGGAGGCATTCGCAAGATGGAGGGTGAGTCTGATCGCGTTTCTGCCGGCATAACCTGCACCGGTTCCAACCGGTGCAGTTTATGCCGGCAGAAAGGCCGCGTCTGAACGCACCCATAGGCCAATTATTATGGTTGCTGTCAGGTAACGCATGGATATGGAAGGGGATGGAAGAAAGCTGTGAAGAAATAGAAAGAGAACAGAGGAAGAGATCTGTGTAGGGATGCCCACTATGGGGATTTTAACCAAGAATTCCGTGAGAACATTCTGAAAACATCTGTTGCAAAAAAAAACTGTGAAGAAAACTGCTTTTCTGGAATAAGGTTTCCAGCTTTCACATGCTACAGAAAAGGCCTCATGGTTTAGCTGCAGACAGCCAGAAAGCTCATAAACACTCAATTCCTAAACATTTACCAGAGTGCATGCAATGTGCCTAATGTTGTAATGCTTGATATTATGATGGCCAAGTGATATAGCAGGATGTTCTCATTCTCCTATGAGCCTTAGAAAAAATTCACACATCCAAACTGGTATATGCAGTGCACTTGTGCAGAGTTCGATCTGGAGGAAAACTGGTCACACGACCAAACAGACAATACTTGCAACCACCTCTTCATACACTACATGCTCTGACTGTACACCTAAGACGCATAAAATGGGACACAGAGTGTGAAGCCTGAAAACAAGGGTACGGAAACTTTTCTTTTAAAGGTACGCTGGTCAGGGAGATTCTGACTGGCTGAGGCACCTCTTGAGTATTAACTCTGTGACTAACCTGGGGTTTTGGCCACGTAATGTGTGAAAGAGCCTGCCACAACACAGAGAAATACCCTGGAGATGCACATTAGCTGAGTTGTATGTAGTATTCATGTGGAAGCAATCATGGCAGGGTAGGACCATTTGTCAAACTTCGTACACATCTATGCAACCCACATTCCCAACATACCAATAAAGACAAGCAATTCTTTTCTTAGTTTCCAGATGTAAACAGATTAGGACAGCAGCCCCATTTTAAAACATGATGTGATTTTTTTTAGTTGAGTCTGCTGTATGGGACCTAAGAATTTTATTTATATTTTTAAGAAAGAAGCACAGCAGACAGTACAGAGGTTAAGGCAGGTTTATAGAGAAAAAGAAGAGCTGCTCAAAGAAGACCCCAGAAGCAAGAGCTTCCTCCCAGCTGGGTGCTTCCAGCCCTCTGAATCCTCAGGTAAGGGATACCTTGGCATGATGCAAGTCAACTCCATACATAGAAAGCTTCTTAGCATTTTCCAGGAAGTGAATTTCTGCCTCCCCAGGTGTCATGCCCCTTTGAAAGAAAAGAAAGAAATGGCAGGCACGGAAACATTAAGATCCAAAAGACAGGCAAGAGGCTGGTGTATCTCTGACAGGGCTTTTAGAGGACACAGAGATTTATTTATTTATGAAAGAATTAAATGAAATTTTATTTAGTTGTTCGATTGATACCCTGGCCTTCGAGCATAGAGCCCTCTCAAGACATCTCAGCAAAACAACAACAGCAAAACAAAACCACAAACATGCAAAAAATATGTAAAAATAAAACCAAAGTAAAAACAATAAAAATCACCTACAAGGACTAGAATCATAGATCTGGAAGGGGGTCATAGAGGTCATCTAGTGCAACCCTCTGTTCAATGCAAGACCCTCTGTTCAATGCAAGATAAATCATCCCTAACAAGTGGTTGTCCAGCCGCTGCCTGAAGAGAGACAGTGAGGGGGAGTTCTTCAACTTTATAGGCAGCCAATTCCACTGCAGAACTACTCCTACTGTAATTTTTTTTGCCTCATATTCAGCCGTTAGCAGCAATAGGACTAACATAATCATAAAGAACAGCATCAAAAGGAGACAAAAAGATACTGTATGAACGTTGCACAACGCCATTTGCTCCCAAACACCATGAGAGGGCAGCCTGCCCATGTCTCAACTGTTTATGGTTCTGATTGCAGGACAAAAACCCACTCACCGGTAAGTTTTATGCAGCTCCATAATGCGCTCTTCCAGTTCCCTGGTCTGGTTTGGGGCAAAACGAAGCTCACTGATATAGTTGGCCACATGCTCCTCCACATCATAGTCGCCCAGTTCAGCTTGTACTGCATAGGAGCCTAGCAGAGCGTGTGTGACAAAGGAGCATGGCAGACGCCCACTGATAATGTCTGCTCGGAGCTGCAGGCACAGGTAGTATCTAGAGAGGGGAGAATGTCAAGCAGTGAGAACAGCCACAAGGAAAGTGATCAGGAGCATAGGGCTGCAAACATTTCCCACCCCTGGCGGCAGGCCTGCACAACTGGTGCCTTATCAAGCAAAATGCAGCCCATCAGCTACTTCCAACGACCCTCTAGAGACTCAAAGAAATTCTTAGGTTTGTAACCATCTGGGGTTGCAACAACAGGTTAATGAGGGGAAGTTCTCAAGCACCTTGCAGAGAATAATGCAGTGCATAATAGCTTGGCACCAGCCTGCAGGCTTATCCTACAGGCTTAAGCCCTGGGGATTGCCATGGATGCCTGAAGGGAAACATCCCAAGAAAATCCCAGATACATTCAGAAATTTCAGGTGGATCTGAAACAGCAGAGAGGCAGAAGCAGATTGCTCCCACCTCTCAGCTGTTTGTCAGGCAGGTTTATGCAGTCCCTTTAAACTTAAAAGGGACTGCAGAAGTCAGCCTGAGGATCAACCAAGGTGGCAGGGAGCTGAGGGCTCCCCGTTGCCTTTCCTGTTGCTGGTTTCTCTTGCAGCCTGTTTTAAACTGGGCTACAAGAGAAGCCAGCCAGAGATCAGCTGGATAAGTGGGGAGTTGAGAGCTTCCCATTGGTGCAGCTCTGCGCTGCCTTCTCCTGCCACTCAGTGATCAGACCCAACATTTGCCTTACCTTCAATACCACATGAGAAAGCAATTGTATTCAGGGGTCATTTCGAGCAGGAACGGCATTCCGGGAGTAACAAGTAAACCCCCCCCCCCTCCTTTCCCTTCGCCTCACCTCCAAGCGGGGTGAAGGGAAGGAAAGAGTGGAGAGAGAAAGGGAATCCAGGGCTTCTTCTGCCTGACAGAGGGGCCAGCGTGCCAGCCCTGCCCCATGAAGTGTTGTGTAGTGGTTAGTGTTCCAGACAAGGATTTGGGAGACCCAGGTTTGAATCTGAGTTGGGAAATACCTGGAGATTTTTGGGGTGGAGCCTGAGCGGAGGGTGTTGCCTTCTGACACACTTCCAGTGATGTCAGGGGGTGTGGCATATGCAAATAAGTTATGCTAATAGGCTCCTGCACTTCTTTTTCTACGAAATGACCCCTGACTGTATTTATTACTAAATCTAATAATACTGTATTTATTAATACTGTAGTGTAATACTGCATGTATTAACAGTATTATGCTGCTTTTATTTCATTGCTTTATAATTTTGTAAACCAGTTTTTGTCTGCACTGTTTGTAGTATGTGTTGCACTGTTTTTATTGCACTGCTATAGTTTATACTGTTTTATTGTGTCGTCTTCTAATTTTGTAATCCGCCTTGAGTCGCAATGAGAGAGGCAGATATAAATGAAGTAAAATAAATAAAGTGGCTGGAACTAATTCTTTGCCACTGAAAGAAATTCTTTGCCACTGTTGCATTCTTCCAGTGGCAGCAGTGGAATACTCAAGCTGTTTTGTTGATTTTGAGGTGAGAGGCATGTTCTAAGGCCCAAATTAGATGTTACATCTGGCAGGAGTTGGGTCAGCTTTCCCTCCCACACATGAAACAGCCTCCGAGCAGCCGATATGCCCTGCTGTGGGTCTCCACGCACCACCACCCCAGCCATTTCAGCTCAGGAAAATGGCATGGGAGAGAAGGCTCAGAAGGTCTCCTTTTCCTGACCATGATCCTGAGCTGATGCTGGCCCCCAGTGTGCTCAGAAACTTCGGATCCCTGACATCTTGTTTTGCTGTGCCAGATGTAATGTGCAGCCTGGGCCTAAGACTGGTCTCTAGCTGCTAACACTTCTCTTGGCCACCAGAAGATGACAAGTCTGTTGCCAAGGCAAGTGGCAGTAGTGGGAGACGGCCTCTACACCTCCCCTCATGAAACCATCTTTACTCACCTTGTGATGTCCTCTGTGAGCTGGGCAGGGTCAGGAGGGTAAAACTTGACAGTGAAAGCAAAGTTCCAGGGACCACCTTGGAAAGAAAAAAAGAGGGGAGGGAGGGAGGAGGGGAGAATAATGTGAGAAACAGACATACCCAGCTGAGGCCATCCTTCTTTTGCTTCTCCCAAGCACACCCACAGCATCTCCAACTGGTGTTTCTATGGTTTAGGCTGCCTCCCATACCCTCCCCTCAAGTCTCTAAGGAAGCTATAAATGTATCCAGAGAAGACAAACCCTTCAAAGACAGCAGGGATCCTGACTTGACTGGATGTTTGTGGCTGAGGCAATAGGCAGGGTGCATTTGCCATTTCAGGCCTTATGACACAGTGGAACAGCCTTCACCGCACAGACAGACCGTGACTTTGCTGTTGCCATGGAAACAGTCTCATGTTTCCCAGGGGGTCTGTCATCAGGGAAAGACCTCCCGCAGCATCTGTGTGAAGCACTGCACAGAAAACCCACCCACATTTGGCTATTCTGTACACCCGTTCCCAAAGAGGAACCTCTTTCCTCCTAGCAGTGAAGGGTGGGGAAGCTAATAGTACTACCAGAGGATCCAGGTCCAATCACCACACTTTTCTGCCTGCTGACATCACAGCAGAAGGCACCATTCACTCTGCCTTATATATCCGTACAAACAGAGACTCCCCTGAGTTAAGTCAGCCTAAGCTATTTGCTCTGCGGGTGTCTTTACCCAACACACCAGCTCTCTGTTCATGACATCCTTTTGTCGGGATTGTGCAGGCTGATCTGTAGAGGATTTGGAGATGGAGGGGTCCGATCAGGGATTTCAGGCTATGTGTCTGCATCCAGCTGAGGCATATAGCAGACATACCTACTCCATGGCTGTGGGGGTTAACAGAAGGGGGCAGTGCTGAGTATAAGCATG